GGAGCCCGATGCGGGGCTCGATCCCAGGACCCTGGGATCATGACCTGAGCCGAAGGCAGACGCTTAATGACTGAGCCACCCAGGCACCCCTAAAAATCATGTATAATTTTTATATAATTCTTTTCTTTTAAGATTTTATTTATTTATTTGAGAGAGAACGCACGCAGGCAGAGGGAGAGGGAGAGAGAGAATCTCAAGCAGTCTCCCCGCTGAGTGCGGAGACTGATACGGGGCTCCATCATGACCTGAGCCAAAATCAAGAGTCAGATGATTAACCAACTGAGCCAACCAAGCACCCCTTTTTTTTATATCATCTTCATCAGGGTCCTGAAATTTTTATTCTCCTTTATTGTAAAGCCATGATTTATATAGTTAGAATGGCTCAGTATTAAAATTTTCCCTTATACGCTATTAAATGAAAAAGGCAAGGTGCAGAACAGCTTTTGTGCAAAATGTATTTATAGACATATGTGTATGTCTATAAATAGATACGTCTTTTAGGGTAGATGCTTTTTTTATCATGAAATATTGGAGATAAGGCACAAGGGAGAGTCTTTTCACTTTTCATTTTGTACAGTTCTATATAGTTTATAAGTGGGTTAAATAGATGGGGAGATCATGATCTAAGTTTTGCTTTGTTTTTATACATCTTTGGACTGAAAAATTGAATTAGTATTCTTTATTTTTGAAACTATCTCCTAGAAGTTGCTCTTGAAGGATTTTTCTACAAATAGCCATTTCAACAGATATTTTAGAAAAGATTTGTAAAGAGGGTGGAAAGGATTTCATGATTAAGTCCCCCTAACCCCGGGCTTGGATGTCATTTAAATGAATAATTCTGCATATTATCCTCTACTTGAAAAATTACTGAATATTCCCAGAGTACCCCAAACAAAGGTCTTTGTCCTTGAGCCAAACCATGTGTATTTGAAGACCAAGTCATATGGCTCTGAAAATTCAGAGGAACGATTGATGATCGTACTTCAACACTGAGAAACAAAAAGACCCTGGCCTGCTCTCCTGGAGTTGGTACCTTTACACCCTTTGTACATGTGAAAGCGAGAGAGACTTCTTGGTACTATTTTCTTAAAAGTACCTTGTGGCTTTATAAAGGTATTTCATACGAATACCTAACTCCAACTGAGTTTACATTGGATTGCATTATTCATTTACCTTTATCATCATTACTCTAGAAACAATTCCAAGTGGATGTTTAAAGAAGGGTCTGCATTGTTTTAATAGTTTAGGATCTTATAGCATAACAGCAGGACCAAGGAAACAAATTTGAACGTATCCAAGTTTAGCTAGTTATTTTTTCCTTAGTAACATTTTCAGAAAGCTAGTCATACTTGAGGTCATTAACAGTAATTATATTACACTCCTCTACTGTAGAGAGTTACAAGGCAAAAGACATGGAGCAGTGTGAGAGGGGCAGAACAAAAGCAAATATTAAGAATAGCTAATGCTTATTGAGTGTGTATTATGTACAAGGCACTGTTCTAAGCATTTTCTCCGTATTAGCTCATCCTATGAAATGTGTACTATTGTTATTATCACTGTACAGATAAGGAATCTGAAGTACAGATAAGTTCAATAGGTTGCTCAAGTTCATACAGTTAGTGAGTGATGAAGCTGATTCACACCCCAGCAGTCTGGTCTAGGGGTCATGCTCATAGATACACAGCCGACAAGAAAATGAAGTGTGTGTGTGTGTGTGTGTTCTCATAACAGCTATCTGACTATTTATAATTAATATATAATTGGGGAGATAGGAAAGACTAGAGAAGTCTCTCCAGTGTCACGTCTCTCAAAATAGACCCAGTTTGGATGAGTTGCAACCTTGTCACCAACTATAGATCTGAAAGACCAGCTCTGTCCATACTAGGCTGTTTTTAGGGGGAAAATAACCTCTTAAAATTGCCCTGAAGGTTATATTGATATGATACTTCCTTACAAAGTAATAAACTACCACATCAAGGAACACACTCCTCAGTGGGCCCCCAGAGAAAAGCCGTCAGTCACTCCCGTCTCCCCGGTCTCTGGCCGCACTCCGTGCTCACCCGGCCTATGACCACGCGTTTCTATCTCTGGCACCAGACCCCGGGTGGAGTCTCCAAACCCAGCAGATCCCTGCGGTGCACTCCCGCGCAGCTCCTCCTGGGGGAGGAAGGATGTCAAACCCATCTTTGAGATACCAACCACCCAAGCCATCATAGATTCTCTGTTTTCATACGTTAAGATGATGCAAGTATTCCTGCTCAGGATGGATGTTCTCAGTGTCTACATCAACCAACTCTTCAGTCAGGAGTACAGAAATTTCTCTCTAAATGAAAGTGCCATTTCTATGGACAGGTCAACTTGTTGAAGGTATGGCTCTGAATTATTGTGAGCAGCATGAGAGAGCTATCTGCAGGTTATGGGACCTACCTTCACATGTTCTGCTTCTGTATTTGGGACTTTCACTTTTCCCAGCCAAGACTGTTTAGCTCCCCAACACACAACCTGTTTCAGGGAAATGGATGGATTTTTCTTTATTTAAATAAAAAACCATAACTGACTAAAAAAAAATGCATTTAAAATTTCAGGCATCTATTTAGAAAAGTGACATAATAACACTTAACATGGCAAGGTGATCATTCGGTAAAACCCAGTAGATCTGAAATGGTTTTACCTCAAATGACTTGTATCTCTTTGAGTCCTTTGCTTCGGTATTCACCCTTTTACACATATTTACCCACTCAAGACTTCTTGCTCAAAAATGTCTCATCACTAAAAGATATTGAAGAGTAGAAAGGAGACCCGAAACCTGAAGTTATTCAAGGCTTTGTGTGTCTCAGTGTTTCCATGTAAATCCACATCATAGCCATAGGCCTTTTCAGAGTTCCAGAAGATTCCATGCAGATTCCACATGTGGGCAGCTGTGCGCCCACCAATGTGAGGCACACTCGTGAAACCAAGAACTTGCTATTTTAACAGCGGTCTCTCTCACAGGACCCATAAAGTACATGTATTCACCACTTAAGAGGAAGAGCATTAAGTAGTGAGAATTGTCTCGTTAGAGCCTAATAGTAATGAGAAGACTCCTACACCATTATTTAGAATCAACATTTTCATATAGTTCAATTTTCATTACATCTTTTAGATGTTCACACATAAAATAAATGGAAACAAGAATAAAAGTGTGTGTGTGTGTGTGTGTGTGTAGAGAGAATGAGAGAAAGTGAGTTAGTAAAGCAAGTTTATCATCAAGATAATGTGGAATCTGATGGATTCTTATCTGCTGACATCTTTATGGGGACACCAAATTGTTTTAACTCTTTTTGGAAATTTTTTTTCCAGAAGGCATTATTTGCACCATGTACAAAATTACACTAACCCTAAGAACGTGGTGTTGAGTGTTTATCAGGAGATTAACTTTCTCATTCCAGCTAAGTGTCATAGTTTGTCCAGTCCTTGATGATGTTTACATTTGCATTCCTTGATATGTATAAAATTGAGACATGGTATTTTGTGAAAAAAATGCCTACATCTCACCAAATTCATAGAAAGTTCTCAGAGCCGCTTAATTTACAATTTTAAAAGTAAAACTGATGGGTTTACCATTCTGGCTCACTGCATTGGGCCACCGACTGAGACGGCCTCCTGCCGTAAATGAGTAACCTCATTTTAGTATTTCACCCCCTAGCTCCAGACAAACGTCATAACTGCATCAGTTCGCCTTTCTGGCTGATGCTAGAGCACCCAGGACAGACACGATGCTACCTTTTGTCAGGTGCAAGTGTTCGTGTGATTTGGATTTGTAGCAAAACAGGAGAATTCCCTGTGATGATGTGTGAGTGGAATCATTTCTACTTCCCTGGAGTTGGACAGAGACACCCTCCCCCCCGGAGTAAACTTCATGTCTGTCACTCAAGGGCAATTTATTAATGGCTTTTCATCAAACCAAAAGGATTTTAGAGAACTTGCTTCTCTCTTTGTTTTAGGCTAAAAGCATATTGCCTTCTAAAGGGGATTATTTTCAAGGTGGCTGTTTTAATAAATTTAATAAATTAAATCCTCCACCACAAGCAGGGAAGGACAACAGTCCTATCAGAGTTCGCTTTCAATTCTTCTCAGTCATTCTTTGAAGTCGTTACTAAATATGCTGTTCATTTTCCAGTCTTTAATAATGGATTTCGGTTTATAATCAGTTCCTCATGATCTGTTTTGTTTTGCTGTTAATTCTCCCCCGTGTGTTAGGAGTAACTGTCTTGGGATGTTTACGTATGATCCTTTTTTTTTTTCTTCAGCAGCAACCCAGCTCATAGATACTACCTGGCAACCGATCCAGTCACAGGAGATTTGTATGTTTCTGACACGAACACCCGCAGAATTTATCGCCCAAAGTCACTTACGGGTACAAAAGATTTGACTAAAAATGCTGAAGTGGTCGCTGGGACCGGGGAGCAGTGCCTTCCATTCGATGAAGCCAGATGTGGAGATGGGGGGAAGGCTATAGAAGCGACACTCATGAGTCCCAAAGGTACTGGCATTTATCAATTTGAGGATTTCTTTTTATTAAAAAAAATATATGTGTAGAAAACCCAGTTAGTGCCTGATTGTGTTTAATGCTGAGTCTAACATTTTACCCTCAACTCTGTTCTAGAAAGCTGTTTCACATCCAGTGTTTTTAAAAGCCGTGAAGCGAGAAACTGCCAGAATCCTAAGTTGATTTTACAGTAAATATTGGGTTCGTGGCATTTTTTATCATATCATTTTTTTTCCAACTTTTCAAAGAATAAAGCAACTAGTCCATATTATTCAGGTCACATCCTGTTAAACTTCAAGGAAGTGTCCAGATTCTTTCATTGTCCTGGAATCTCTTTGTCATGAATGAGTCCCAGGCCTCTTTAAAAACCATCACTAAGCAACGCTATTAGTCCTCACCCAGTCTGGAGCTATTAAACTTTTGTTTCTATGCCATGGGAAAAAATGCTTGCTGTGAGGAATTTCTAGAGGTAACAAGGGCTAAAATTCTATGTGATAAAGGTTTCTAGCTTTTAAACCAGTTGGGACTGACTCCTTGCTCATGTATTATGCCATTCATTACAGTGTTTTTTGGTTTGGGGCTTTTTTTTTTTTTTTCATTATAGCTAGCAACTATTATGTGAACAAGGACTGGAAAAAAAGCATTTGTTGTACTGAATTATTCATAATAGCAAATTTCATTGTAACAAGGTCAACGAAACGCTAACCTTGGCTCAGATCTATTTTTGTTAGAATACAGTTATTCTAAGTTCAGAGTAAAAGAACTTGACCTGTTTCTATAATTGATAGACAACAGCATTATACAGAAGTTATAATTTTATATTTAGGATGCAGGGAGCGCCTATGTGATTCATACACTAAGTGGAGATTCTTACAAATTTCGGTTATTTCTTTTATTACATTTTACATAGATTGTGTTATAAACGCCTCTGTTGGGTTTTTCCTAATGTATTTGCAATCTACAACCTTACCTGGTACCTATCACCCATGTTATCTCTGGCGTTGAATGTTGAATTTAACGATGGGCCTAAAAATGAATCCCGTTTGAAAAGTTGGTCATGCTTACTTCTCTTGGAAAAGGAATGGCGATTGATAAGAATGGATTGATCTACTTTGTTGATGGAACCATGATCAGAAAAGTTGATCAAAATGGGATCATATCAACTCTCCTGGGCTCTAACGATCTGACTTCAGCCAGACCTTTAACTTGTGACACCAGCATGCACATCAGCCAGGTAGTTAAAATCTTAAGCTGCATTGTTTGTTTTCCTTCTGAGCGTCTCGGTTGACTAGGTCAGCAGTCTGGGGTGGCCCCATATTAAACTGGATATACATGTGTGGCATTCGTGGTATTAAAGCTGCTCCATCTAAATGTATCTCAGGAGCTAATAAAAAGCTGTTTTCTTCTATCGTTCTGCGTTTGATGAATTCAATGAGATTACAGAACAAGTAGCGCGAAGAAACGCTAAAGCATTCATAATAAAATACCAGTAAAGTAGCAACAGGCAGATATTCCAGAAAGAACAAAACAGCTTAAATCTCTCATCTTTTGATTGCACGAGCTCTTTAAGTAGTAGAGAGAACCCACTATGATTAGTCCCACGGGACTTATATTTAGAATGAGGAACTTTACTGTTGGCCTGATTGAAAACACAATAGAACACTAATGTATTCATAACCTAGAAAGCCTCGACGTTCGGGGGTTATTACAGCTGAAGGAACATATGTGTTCGTATCTCATTGATACCTATTAACTCACTGCTTAGAGGTTCGTTTGCTCGTTGGCTATAACGTGCAAATCTCCCAGTGAGCTGTCTTTTTAACTAAAATGTTATTTCCTCCATTTGTCTCCCCTCGAAATGTTTAAGTTTATTTTACAGTAGCTATGCCAGAAAACAATTTGTTTTAAAACAGTTTATCAAATTGAGGGTAATTTCCTTGAATGGTTCTAATTTACTCCCCTGGCAAAGTAACTGCCGCACAGTAACGGACTAACCAGGCCATTTCTTCTTTTATTAAGGTGCGTCTGGAGTGGCCCACTGACCTCGCCATTAACCCTATGGATAACTCCATTTATGTCCTGGATAATAACGTAGTCCTGCAGATCACTGAGAACCGCCAAGTGCGCATCGCTGCTGGACGGCCCATGCACTGCCAGGTCCCGGGGGTGGAATATTCCGCGGGGAGGCACGCGGTCCAGACGACCCTGGAATCCGCCACCGCCATCGCCGTGTCGTACAGCGGGGTCCTGTACATCACGGAAACCGACGAGAAGAAAATTAACCGGATAAGGCAGGTCACCACGGACGGGGAGATCTCGCTGGTGGCAGGGATACCTTCCGAGTGCGACTGCAAAAACGACGCCAACTGCGACTGTTACCAGAGCGGAGACGGGTACGCCAAGGACGCCAAGCTCAGTGCGCCGTCCTCTCTGGCCGCCTCCCCTGATGGCACCCTGTACATCGCGGACCTGGGCAACATCCGGATCCGGGCCGTGTCGAAGAACAAGCCCTTCCTTAACTCTGTGAACTTTTACGAAGTGGCCTCCCCAACTGACCAGGAGCTCTACATCTTTGACATCAATGGCACTCACCAGTATACTGTAAGTTTAGTCACTGGTGATTACCTGTACAACTTCAGCTACAGCAACGATAACGATGTAACAGCTGTGACAGACAGCAACGGCAATACTCTCAGAATCCGACGGGACCCGAATCGGATGCCAGTTCGAGTGGTGTCTCCAGATAACCAAGTCATATGGCTGACAATAGGAACAAACGGATGTTTGAAAAGCATGACCGCTCAAGGACTGGAATTAGTTTTGTTTACTTACCACGGCAATAGTGGCCTTTTAGCCACTAAAAGCGATGAGACTGGATGGACAACATTTTTTGAGTAAGTACATCCAAATCCTGCTCTGATTATAAAATGCTGTGATAAGAGTAATGTAATCTAAAAATAATGATACAATCCCAAGGGCAGGTGGGGTCCAGGTTCGGGGGGACCTGGAGCTTCTATAATTTGGGGATCCCTTGCTTTCTAAAAGAAGACAAAATTAGACCAAAGGAGGGACCCGCGCAATGAGAGGTTCTAAAGCTTCCACGTCATTGGCCTCCCTGTCAGTCGGCTTCTGCTTAAGGATTAACATTTTCCTTCACGCAGACCTAATCTATTAGCAGCAAACATTTGGGAGAAATATGCTACAGCTTTGGTTTTTGGCATAAACGCTTTGGGCTTACATTTGCCCCTGTGAGAAAGCTGTCACTGAAGAGGACCTTTAAAAACATTCACAATGAGGGGCGCCTGGGTGGCTCAGTCGGTTAAGCGACTGCCTTCGGCTCAGGTCATGATCCTGGAGTCCCGGGATCGAGTCCCGCATCGGGCTCCCAGCTCAGCAGGGAGTCTGCTTCTCCCTCTGACCCTCACCCCTCTCATGCTCTCTGTCTCTCATTCTCTCTCTCTCAAATAAATAAATAAAATCTTTAAAAAAAAAAAAACATTCACAATGAATTTGGCAGTTTATATCAATGCCGCCGACGTCATTCCTATCCAGTAGAAGGCCTTGACTTTTTATAATCAGTTATGGGAGAATCTAAACTGCACTTAAAAGGACCTTTCCACTAAATGCAAATCAGCAAGTGCTGGTTGCTGTGGAAGGCGTATGAAAAAGCATGAGTTTCATGCTGGCAGGATATTCTTCTACTAAATATGTGAGTAGTGGCCCAGGCGGGGTGCTGTTTGAACAGTCACATTCTGTGAGGTCATTCAGAATGAAATGAGAATCGGCCATTGTATATTTTATGGGATATGTACTTTGCAGTGACCGCATATGTAAAATCATTTTCGATTACTGTTCACTTCACTAACATCACACAAACCATAAGGGGAAATTAGATGTACAGAGATGGCATGTTGACAAATGCAAAATAGTCCTTGAAATGAATATGGAGTTCCTTGGTGTGATTTTTACAATGATATGCTGAAGCAGAAGTATTTTCTGTAGGAGTATACCTCTAAAATTATAATAAAAGTCGGTAGGAAAAAAATGATCCAAAATACAAATATTTTCCGTACAACTTTTCGGGAATGGATCTTATACATAAAGCTGAGTTCTCCTGTAGCTTGAATTGCTTTTCTTTTTTGACAGGTTCCCATTTAATAAAATGAATGTTCCCCAGCAGCATGATTTTGTCAGAGGAACAAACCTTTTCAATTGAATTACATTAAAATTCTGTTCTTAGCATTCCTTGTGCTCATTTTAGGATCGCAATAGGAAAGGAATAAATTGGAAGTTAATGGAAAGCACTTCCTTTGCACCATTTTCAAAGTGATAGCAGGCTATATTGCCAAAGAGGCAAAAAAGAGTGTAGGAAAAGTGCTACCATCAGATGAGACTGGGCAGGAGAGCTGCTCTGATTATAAGACCTTCAGGAAATGATGGTGGCGTTGGTAGGGTTTCGGTTTAGTTCAAAGCAGGGAGGAAAAAAAAAATAGAGCAATAAGTTTTTAGTACAGTCTAGGACTCAAGCTCTGCTCTGTGGGCCACTTTTGAATGTGTCCTTATTTGTTCCGGAAATTGACACTGCATAGAAGTTTATCGTGTGGGTTACTACTGACACATGAACTTCTTGCAGCAGATAGAGTGGTTTACTTATGACCTACAAAGGAATTTTAATCAAGTTTGGAAAAATTAGAGAAAGGGATATACTCGATTGGTAGAGTTGATCTGGACTGGTATAAACAAATTCAGGATTTTTGCCTTTTTTTTAAAAGTGTGGCACACAAAAACCTGTATTTCTCCAGTAGCAGACACTCTCCAAGAACCCCAAACTTAGTTCAGAATCAGCACAGCAACGAAAGTAGAGGTTGAATTGGCAAGCCAATCTCGTGACTATAAGGGGCAAGCATTGTTTTAAAGAATAAATTTGTAATTAACTTAAATACATCACAATCATATCTTCACCAATACAAATTCATTACACATCGTATTTAAAGTATAACTATTAAGTCATATCTAAATAAGCTAAATAAAGGCAACTTATTACCAAGCCCATCATTAAAATATTTTTCCATATATAAACCTGCATGTATTTATACGTATAAATGTACTCACGTATATTGGGGTTATAATTTAAAAATGTAGTGGTTTAGTAAACCAGTGCTTGAAAAATCATTTCTCTAATAAAATTAACAGAAATACTGCTTTTTAAAAACCATGCTTTCATCGCTTGTCCTCTAGATGTCTGCAGCAAAAGACATGACTAAAAAATGTCTAAGAAACATTTCTGCATTTTGCAAAACAGTGTGTTACAGTATGAGAACGAAAATAGGGCACTTAACCCAAGTAACTCAGAATCTTCATGTCAGAATAACAAATGATCTTTTTTTTTTCTTTCTATACATTTTCACACTTTGGCTGTGAAAGAGGAAGGGCCCCACCTCTTCTATCTAAGCTTCAGAAACTTTAATTTTTTTTTATTTTTTTTAAGTTTTTTTATTTATTTATTCATCAGAGAGAGAGAGAACACAAGCAGGGGGAATGGCAGGCAGAGGGAGAAACAGGCTCCCCGCTGAGCAAGGAGCCCGATTCAGGACTCGATCCCAGGACCTTAGGATCATGACCTAAGCCGAAGGCAGCTGCTTAACTGGCTGAGCCACGCAGGTGCCCCTAAGCTTCAGAAACTTTAAAACACATTCAGAAGTAAGCGCACAAAAGAAGGGAGGGGAATGCCATTTGCAGGCGGCCCCTCCGATAGACCTCTCTGTTGAAACAGAACAGCGTGATTTATCTGCGTCAGTTGGCAGCTGTGGGTGGGTAAGCTTAACCCCTGTCTCCACCCATCAGAGTCTTGATGAGAGTTTCTGCTTACTACCTCCTGGCTTGGACACGTGACTGGGTGACGGTGCTGGGGGGCGGGGGGTGCGCAGCAGGGGAGTCTGAATTCCCTGCCAGATTTCCTTGGTGTTCGACATCGTTGATGAGCCAGCACACTCCCAGGATACTAGTAATACCTGTCACATTCCCCTTCGTATCTGTGCAATACTGCGTGTCTAAGTTAGACCTCAGAAGCGATATGGGAGGTTTGACAATGGTCAGAATTCTATGAAAACCACAACGAGATTGGGGGTGGGGGGGAATCACCATTCCCAACTGAAAAACATCTGTTTTCTGTGACTTTCATGACCCCAGTCCCTAGAGCTGATACAGGCTTTATAATCATATTTCTGCACAAATTCCTCTTTTGCAAAGAGAAATTAAACTTTTCGGCCCAAATTCCCACCTGTACATGTCCAGCTCTCTTCCTAGCCTAGTGCCTTAAAAGCCTTGAAATTAAAAGCTTTCTAGGACAGAAACAGCTCGCAGAAGACCCGAGAATCAGTAAATCTGCCTACTGATTAAAGTACAGTTGCTATCCTCTCTACCAAGGAAATTTTAAAAGTGAATTAGCTCAATTACTTACCTTATATGTTTTAATTGTATTACTTTTTTCTCAGTACAAACTTCAGTTTACCAGTAATGTACCACAGTACTGCTGTGAGTACAGAATAAAATGTGAAAGCATTTTATAAAATGCAAACTAATTATCTTTGTGGCTCCCACAACACCTGGAATGTCGCAGTGCATACAGAACTCTTCCAATAACTATTTGTTGTTCGAAGGAATAGATAGAGAAGCCAACGATGTAGACAAGAGAATATTTATTTTTACAGAAGAGCCCAAAAGAACCCATCACTGGCTCTTGCCCAGGCTCCATGGAAAGAGCACCCTATAAAGTTTGCTCACTCGATTTCTGAGATAGTTTGGACTTCTCTGCACCAAGAGTCGATGCTGAAAATATTAACAATTTTCATTCTTTGTTGCTGACATTTTTAAATATATTTACCCAATATTACATGTTTACTCAAGTTTCGTTTGCTTTGTACAATCAGGACTTCCTCAGTTGGTGTATTAGTAAAATAGTTAATGAAAAAATTACTTCATCTTGATGGCACTGTCTTCTGAAATGTTGGTGTTAAGGAGTCAGCTTGGAGGAAAGACAGAAAATGTGTCCCAGGAAGGTGCAACTGAAGTACATTGTTGTACCTGCGACCAGAAAGGATGATTCTAGGAAGAGAAAACCCAGTTCCCAAATTGAGATTCTTATCAGTCACCAATAAAATAGGGTGATTTTTTAGAGTACACAGATAGTTTCCAAAGTACAAGAACCTTCATTTCAAAAACTAGAGGTAGCATCTTCTCCTTGGCAGCAGTTTCTCTCCTTGCTGCTTGCCATGATTATGTCCCTCTTGTGACTTGTTAGAGAAGTGGCCAATATTCTTAGACGTGCTGCTGGACGGGATGATAGGAAGACTGCAGTAGGCAGCAGAGGGTTTGTAACTCAGCTTTGAAATCTCGGAGGTAGACTGATCTGTTTCGTGAACTAACTCTGTGTTGCTGATTGAATAAGCCATCTTGTCCAAGATCTCCTCTTCCATTGACTTGCCAGGCAGTACAAAGGATGTCCCACTAGCTAATGGGGCCCCCCTCGTGTGAGGACACTGGGATAAGCCTCGTTACTCCCTTCCCTTAGTATTAGGGACTGTTTCATGCTGGTCTTCACACCTTTTAAAAACAATGATCACATATGACAGTTCCTTAGCTAGAATAATTCCGGGATGGTCAAAAAGATCTCACCTGCTAAAAATGTATTATTTGAAACGTTCAGACCCAAAGCGAAACCACAGTTCTTACGCTTGAATGCACACAAAAGCAAATCCGGTGTATTGAAATGGAGCAATAGAATAAATTATTGAATAGTAAATGGCATTTCACAGTTCTCTGCTTGCTCACCCCCAGAAAAGACAAACTGTTCGGGCATAGCTTTCTGATGCTCTTCTGTTTGGTTAAAGAAGAC